AAACTCCTTGATATAAATTGATAATTAAACAAAAAAAACTTTGTCTTGAGTTTTTAGACCAGTCGGCGAGTAATTCTGGGAAATTTTTTGGCATTGTCCGTGGAGGCACCGTCTCTCATTTTGGCGATGGAACATGAATAAACAAATGTTTTCACATTTACTGATTATTGTCGTTTAAGAATTAAGCTAAGTCGACTGTCATGAACATATATTGTTATGAATCTTTAGGTTTATTGCATTAAATTGTGAGGTGCAATGTTATTTGCGGAAGTTGGTTAATTGGAATGATTATCTCGGCCATGCAAATGAATTTACTTGACAATTTCTTTCAACATATGATATTCCGGGTAAATAAGCAAAAGCAGCTTGACAAATATTTGTTAGTTGTAACTTACTTGATGCCAATTCCTAGCACGAGAAGAATCAAAATTGTTATTTTCATCTTTCCAGTTGTTTGTCTAAGTTTGATTCGACGAAACTGTGATTTACAGTAAGAAATGACGCCTTTTTATACACTTTTACATCCGATATTTTGAAAAAAGTTAACAATAGTCTTCCTCATGGCGACACATAAAAAATATTACTGCATTGAATTCCGTGGACTTTGCCTAATCAAATTCTGATAATCGATGCCAATTAAACTGATGATAATGACATCCACATATAGAAATTTTTAATCCGTGATATGAAAGCAACCCCTGCAATGAATTTAAACTATAGTTCAGTTTGAATTTGATATCATTAAAATTTCATACGTTATGGAAATATCCTGAAATATATATTGGAAAATTGATTTGATTTCGACTAGTCGAATATTTTTTGGTGGAAGTTGGAAGTTCGTGAACGGTATTTGGTAAATTCAATTGAAGGATATTCTATTCATCATCGTTATAGCTGACATTATGGGCCATATTGGCGGATGTAGGATATCTAAATGAAGTATTTTGTACAATACAACTTTTGTTGGATATACAATCACAATTTTGTCCCAAAAAAGTTGACTAGATTCACAGAGCAGCGCAATATTTTATCATTACCAACATACACTCACTCGTATTTCAGTCATGGGTGGCTGTTAAGAATAATATACTTGCCTAGTCGAACATTATGTCGTTTATACTAATACTTTACCTGGCGCCCACTTCTGCTATAATGCATTTTCTCCTTGCGCAAACACTATAACTAACATTAGTTCTCGGGAAAATGGATCAAACGAGTCTATAAATGTGAAAATTAGAGTCGGGCTCAGCACATTTTTTGAATTTATACTAACTATTCATGTTCGAAATTCGTCCTTAAAACTTCATTCCAAACTTCGTTAGAAAGGGTAAAAAAATCTGATTTTAGAGTTATTTCGGATCTATACCAAAATATGTTACTTCATATCCTCAAAGTATTTAGGATTTTCTCACATCTATGAGAAAAAAGTATCAACATCTCTCCGAAAGCATAAATGAATGGGGAGCGTGCAGGGCTAGTTATTGATTTTTTTGATTTCTGAATAGGTATTTACAGATTTAAAAGCCAAAGGCCCTTCGCGTATTATGACGTCATGTTTTTATTTACATGACGACTTAATACAGCTTTAAACTTCCTACTTGTTTTTAATTTCGAAATCGACTTACGTAGTGAGAAATGTTTCTTATAACTGCAATTTTGTATAATAAACAAATGCAGAAATCTAAATATAATGTCATTCAAAGTTCATTAAACGTCATGATGCATTTCAAAAAGAAGAATATATATGACGTCGTAATGGATTCTTCGTAAAATGTACAATACAGAATATTACATAAAATTATGTCGTCAATTATTTTTTAATTATAAATGCCCCTCTTCCTTCAGAAATTCTTGGTGCGCCACTACCGGTATCCTACGCTCATTACAGGTATACTCAAATAGCCTCATTGGGAGATATCAAATGGTATAAGACGAGGACAACCAAATCAGATTATCCAAGATAGGTCAGAGGCAAGCAAAAAAAATTTAACGATGTACATTTGTTAATACTAAATAGTGAGTTTTCTGAGCCTGGAGACAAACTTGTGTTCGATTCGTAGCAGAAGTAAATTTGCAAAGCTTGTTATCGTCTTTGACTCAACTTGTACTGATTGAGTTGAATTAAGTAATAAATTAACTAAACATTGAATCGAATGATTGACATTTGTTAATTCGCTCGACTCTGAGAGATCCTTTTACATCCATTAAAAATGGACTAGACCAAACGTTGCTCAAGTTACATTTTATTATCTATATTATTCCAAAGATGACTTGCAAAATATTTGGTTTATATTTTCAGTTTCAACTTCTCTGAACCCTCAACGAGCGACTGGAGCAGTGATTGGATATTTTCGAAATCTTCCGGAAGCAAGATACTTTTTTATTGAAGGAATAGCCTAAAACAAATAAGCTATTTATTCCGCATGTAATTTTCATCATTTCCCAATATGTATTTGTGGTATTAAACGGTTAAACGGTATCGGTAGTATCATCAACCCGGACGACGTCTATGATTTAAACAAAAGATTTATTAAGTCTGATATGAAAGTAAAAAAGTATTTTCATTCTTGAAAATATACGCAGTTCGCACAATTAGTTATTTTGAAAGCAAGAGACGATGTACGTAACAGTACACAATACAATATATTGTACAAAAGATGGCCACTAGTTTACCACAGTCAAAATGTGGCAACCCTGTAAATTAATGTTACGTCGATGGTTATACGCAAGGGCGATAATGCTGGCCATGGCCACGTCAACTACAACTTACTACAAATCAGCGCTACCGCAGCATCGACCTCAAAATCTGCAACATATTTTTTCAATCTTGGGAATGATTGAAAGCAATTTTCATTGAGACAACATATTTTATTTAGCAAAGAGTAGAATTGAAAGTCCATATATGTGATATATATATACAATGACAAAAAAAAGTTACTAATTACCTAAATTAAGAATTGTAATCTCCCAATTTACCACGAAAGAAACATATTTTCTTACACGTATTATATTGAATATGCTAAGTTCAATGTAAAATTCAGACCTTGTTAACGAAATGCGACGGCATCTAAAATGCAGCTATCCATTTTACAAGGAGGTGGATTGTATAATCAGCAATGGCAACGACATTGAAGTCAAGTATTATGAAACAAACCTCAATGAAAAAAAGCCACTTTTTGTCGCCCATGATTTTCATTGCGGCCCCCTCAAATTCAGGAAACGTCACTTCTCGGAAAGTTTTCAATGCCTTTTCGTATTTTTCAGGCCTGCATGAAGATTTTTAATTAAAACATGTCACGAAAACAATCATCAAGGTGGCTACACTAAGGCACCATCTTTTGGTGACATGGTACGAATGGCCGTGCCGCGGGTGCAATTCTACGTGACTGTATATGTTCAGGGGTGCAATATAAGTGGGTGCTAATGTACATTGGTGCAGATATCAATGGTGCAAATTTTCATGGGTGTAAATAGGGTTTCCAACTATGAAAAGTCCCAAAAAAGGACATAGATTACCGTCATCATTTATTTTGTAACTTGCAGAAAAGAACAATATAAAACAATGAACTACAAATTATATACAAGCTAAAAAAGATATATTGTAAAATTTTCATGTATTTTTCATTCAATGTTTATTTAACATTGACCCAATCAAGCTGCATTCTGTGAACAGTTTAGTGCTTTGAATCGTGCCAAATTTTTTTTGAATGAGTGCAACTTCATCAAGAAGGTTAAAACATATTCAAATTAAGTTTGTCTTTTAGCTTCAAATGCTCTACAATTTTTACAAGTGTCTGATATTTTGGAGAAAGACTATCCAAAAGAGATTATTTTCCGAATGTTGAATTTTCATCAAAGTCAAATCTTTTTTCCAAATACGTTATCGCAGAGTTGAGAAATAATCTAAAATCTTAGAGACCAATTATATTCTAGTTAAAATTCTAGTTATATTTTTGTTATTGAACTAGAATTCACTTAAATCTTGGAGTGTTGCCACTTGTCATCTTCGAAAAATCAATGTAAAATATTTGAAATTGTTAATAAAATTGGTATTTCTTTGGCTATTTGAGCCGTGCCGAAGCGAAATAAAAAAGAATAATTAAAAGCTTGCAAATACATAAACGGAGGCGATTTAAGAACGAAACAATATCAAACACAGTACTATAACTATCGGGCAAAACGACGTTGGAAAAAATAAAGGACAATTATCATCTTAAAAAGGACAAAAATCTCAAATTAAGGATTGTCCTTTGAAATAAAAGACGGTTGGCAACCCTAGTTGAGCCTGACTCCAATTTTCACATTTATAGACTCGTTTGATCCATTTTCCCGAGAACTAATGTTAGTTATAGTGTTTGCGCAAGGAGAAAATGCATTATAACAGAAGGGGGGCGCCAGGTAAAGTATTAGCATTAGTATCAACGACATAATGTTCGATTAGGCAAAAATATTATTCCTAACAGCCGCCCATGACTGAAATACGAGTGAGTGTATGTTTGAAATGATAAAATATTGCGCTGTTCTGTGAATCTAGTCAATCTTCTTGGGACAAAATTGTGATTGTATATCCAACAAAAATTCTATTGTACAAAATACCTCATTTAGATATCCTACTTCCGCCAATATGGCCCATAATGTCTGTTATAAAGATAATGAATAGAATATCCTTGAATTGAATTTACCAAATACCGTTCACGAACTTCCAACTTCCACCAAAAAATATTCGACTAGCGGAAATCAAATCAATTTTCCAATATATATTTCAGGATATTTCCATAACGTATGGAAGTTTAATGATATCAAATTCGAATAGAACTATAGTTTAAATTCATTGCCAGGGTTGCTTTCATATCACGGATTAAAAATTTCTATATGTGGATGTCATTATCATCAGTTTAATTGGCATCGATTATCAGAATTTGATTAGGCCATTTCCACGGAATTCAATGCAGTATTATTTTTTATGTGTCGCCATGAGGAAGACTATTGTTAACTTTTTTCAAAATATCGGATGTAAAAGTGTATAAAAAGGCGTCATTTCTTACTGTAAATCACAGTTTCGTCGAATCAAACTTAGACAAACAACTGGAAAGATGAAAACAACAATTTTGATTCTTCTCATGCTAGGACTTGGCATCAAGTAAGTTACAACTAACAAATATTTGTCAAGCTGCTTTTGCTTACTTACCCGATATCATATGTTGAGAGAAATTGTCAAGTAAATCCATTTGCATGGTCGAGATAATCATTCCAATTAACCAACTTCCGCAAAAAAACATTGCACCTCACAATTTAATGCAATAAACCTGAAGATTCATAACAATATATTTTTATGACAGTCAACTTAGCTTAATTCTCAAACGACAATAATCAGTAAATGTGAAAACATTTGTTTATTCATGTTCCATCGCCAAAATGAGAGACGGTGCCTCCACGGACAAAGCCAAAAATTTTCCCAGAATCATTCTTCGACTGGTCCAAAAACTCAAAATGAAGTTTTTCTTGTTTGATTATCAATTTATATCAAGGAGTTTTCAAATAACTTGAAAATTCCATGTAGTATTTACAAATATATCTATCAGTAATTTTCCTAATGTCAAAAATTATCTTTTTTTAGTGCAAAATCTCTGGAGGAAAGTAAGTACTAAATTATATTTCAATTATAACTCATTTCAATTTATTTCTTCTTTTTATGAGTCTGCAGAGATATATATTTTGAACTTCGGTTCGAGACTATTGATCTGGTAAATTTACCACATTTCATTACTGCATCCCACCCTGACCACGTCATCCAAAAATTACTTCATTTCGGCTTCACAATCACGTTAAAACGGGGGAGATGGCTGGATTTAGTGAGTTTGTTATCATTGTCGCAGACACCAATACGGGAGATCGTCGCTATATTATGGCAAGCTGTATTACGTGATTGTGTCGTCGCATTGACGTAATGTTTGTATGTGAAGGAAAATATTGTCGTTCTACGCTCACTAGAAGTCCTTGTGGTATTAGACTACACTAGACCCTGTAACCGTAGCTATTCCATCTTCGTTCAGGCGTGATTTGGGGGAAATTAAGCGTAAAATAGTTCGGTCTTCGGGATTTTTCACGACTTTCGTTCATGAAATTGCTCTTTTGTCCGTACAATTGTTCATATTAGCACGGAATCAGAACAATTTTCTGAGTTAACTCTATTTTTTTACTAGGAAAAGCGGACCAACGAGACAATGGAAAGGGGTTTTTTCCTCTTACCTACGACCAACAAGACAATAGAAAGGGGTATTATCCTCCTACCTACGACCAACAAGACAATGGAAAGGGGTATTATCCTCCTACCTACGACCAACAAGACAATGGAAAGGGGTATTATCCTCCTACCTACGACCAACAAGACAATGGAAAGGGGTATTATCCTCCTACCTACGACCAACAAGACAATGGAAAGGGGTATTATCCTCCTACCTACGACCAACAAGACAATGGAAAGGGGTATTATCCTCCTACCTACGACCAACAAGACAATGGAAAGGGGTATAATCCTCCTACCTACGACCAACAAGACAATGGAAAGGGGTATTATCCTCCTACCTACGACAAACAAGACAATGGAAAGGGGTATTATCCTCCTACCTACGACCAACAAGACAATGGAAAGGGGTATTATCCTCCTACCTACGACCAACAAGACAATGGAAAGGGGTATTATCCTCCTACCTACGACCAACAAGACAATGGAAAGGGGTATTATCCTCCTACCTACGACCAACAAGACAATGGAAAGGCGTATTATCCTCCTACCTACGACCAACAAGACAATGGAAAGGGGTAATATCCTCCTACCTACGACCAACAAGACAATGGAAAGGGGTATTATCCTCCTACCTACGACCAACAAGACAATGAAAAGGGGTATTATCCTCCTACCTACGACCAACAAGACAATGGAAAGGGGTATTATCCTCCTACCTACGACCAACAAGACAATGGAAAGGGGTATTATCCTCCTACCTACGACCAACAAGACAATGGAAAGGGGTATTATCCTCCTACCTACGACCAACAAGACAATGGAAAGGGGTATTATCCTCCTACCTACGACCAACAAGACAATGGAAAGGGGTATTATCCTCCTACCTACGACCAACAAGACAATGGAAAGGGGTATTATCCTCCTACCTACGACCAACAAGACAATGGAAAGGGGTATTATCCTCCTATCTACGACCAACAAGACAATGGAAAGGGGTATTATCCTCCTACCTACGACCAACAAGACAATGGAAAGGGGTATTATCCTCCTACCTACGACCAACAAGACAATGGAAAGCACTATTACGGCGGCGGATACGATCAATGAAAAAGTTTTGAACAGCTACGGGACTAGAAGACGGACGGAACCGGCAGAACATAGATATTTCTTGTTTTCTTTGATCAAAGGCTAGCCTTATTATTCAGAATATAACACTACATTGCATTCAACATTTGTATGTTTATTGTGTTTAGAGTGATGTTTTGGGAAATTTGGCACAAATGGGTTTTATCAAGAGGCTTAGAGTTTAGACGATTCAGTTTATATTAACGAGAAGAACAAGGGGCATAACGCCAACTATATTCTGACCCTGTCACTATCTGCTGATTAAAACGTACACAAATAGTATCAACCATTATGTCGGAACTGGCATTCCACGAAGGCATTTTGCAATAAAAGTTTTGTTATACCCAAAATGAGAGCAGAAGTTGTAGCCGGATTGTTTTAATCAGCTGTCGGCTTAGATTTTTCGGTAACCAGATGTGAAAACCGGATTTGGAGTGGGTTCGATGATTGTTTTTGCTGACATTCTCCCCTGCATCATTTCAAGACTGTCGCAGGAGAATACGTTCTGATAATTGGTCCACTAAAAAATTCAGAATAACAACATCTTGAATATATCAAGCGTCATTTATTGCTTGTCGTTGATACACTTTAATGTGATGGGTGCAATCGCTTTGCTCCCACCAGTTCATCCATTTTGGGATCTGGGTGGGACAGTGCTCTTATATCATGTCTCATTTCCATTATTTTGCACAATCTTCTTTTAATAGCGAGTAGCCTAACGCAGTGATTTTCAACCTTTTTTGTATCGCGGAACACTTTTTTTATTCTAAAATTGTGGCGGAACACCAAATGAGATTTTTGGAAATAAACTATATTATGCAATTAACCGACATCGATCATTTCGGAATAAAATAAATTAAAGAAATTAATAATACCTTGTCAACTTCAGCTGGAAAAGACGTTACACATTCCGAATCAGAGCTACCGATGAGCTAGGAACAGAAATGGTATTTTAGCGTAATATCTGGGCCTGTTTCGATGAGTTTCAATATTTTATTCTGTCTGGAATTTAATTAAGTGAGACAAACACGCAGCTCTTTCTCAACGACTCTCAATTTTTCGTGTTTTTTATACTCTTATGGCGGCCAAGAAAAAGGTTGGCAAAATCGAATATTTTTTCGAATTAAAAAATTCGAATATTCTTAACAAATACCGAATTGTCCAATACCGAGGGTCCAAAACGTCGGAGATAGATTTGGAAATTGATAGAAACATCGAAAATCGGCAACAAAGCGATTTTTACTGGTTAATTTCGTCATACTCGCTGATATTTTGTCCCCCTGAACGTTTTCAAATTCCCGCCATTTGTTCTTTTGCGCAACTATTAATTCCTGTGGGTCGGCGGAGATCGAAGTTTTATAATATTGGTATAACTATGAGTTCACATCAGCGACAGATTTTAATGACATTAAGGAGTGATTTCAAAGCCAAATTAATTGTATTCTTATATTTATCTGTTGCGCCGACTCTGATCTAACTTATCGCAAATTAAACGTCCCAATTTTAATCAAAAAATATTATCATTATCGTCAACGGGATGCACACATTTATTATTAAGACGACAATCGACTTTCTTAGGCTCAGTGTTATTTTCGAAATAAATCAATTTGATACTGTGATTGGATAAATCTGTGAAGCTGCGATTGCGTGAATCATGAATGTTGATTTAAAATCTGAAATAAAGGCATTTTTACGTTGTCGTTAGGCAGGACTCTTGAACGATATTTTACATACGCGATCTGATACCAAAAAAATTGTAAACAATGCTGTGCCCAAGTGCTGTGCCCTTTTCGTACCTAGTAGAAGGGAAGACGCTAATTATAATTAATCACCTCAAGTTTACCATTTATTTTACAACAAATCAATACCCCGACCATTATCATAGCTAATATCGTTACCGAGAAATTCACAATTTTATTTACGGAATTTGCAAATTCAACACTCCACTTGACGATTTTGATGATGCCATGCCCTGATTAATACTGCAAGAAAAGCTTCAAAATGCAACGAATGTAATCAATTCCGATGATGACTCCATCCATGGTCGAGTATAATGTTCACATATTTGAAACATTATTTGGTCAAGGATGAAATGGATCACTAAAAATACACGCCGAGCTATTAGAAAGTCCATCATTTCTTATCTGGTCATGGGTTTTTATACCGGCTTTTGACTCATTTCCACGGCATTTTTAAATCTATGCTATTTATATGGTACTCACGTGGTATGTGAACCAAGATGGCGGACACACGAACGGAGTATGTGTACCAAGTTAGGGTTAGGCCATAACTTCAGGTACAAATACTACAGGAGTCACCTGGCTAGTCCCCGAACTCGTAATTGAACTAAAAAAAGAAAATTGGAACAAAATTATGGCCTAACCTGGTACACATATTACGTTCTAGTGTCCAACGTCTTGGTTTGCATATTACAGGAGTACACCATTTATTTAACTCGAATTTTCTGACGACCTAAAATAGCCGTTTTCACCATGTATCGAAAACGTCTTTGTAACTCTTAATTTCCGATAATGATTTTCTATTCGGGTCATGCATGCGGAGGCTGATAACATCTTTAAAATCTGGTAACTTTATTTTAGATATCTTAGTTGGGTTGACGTTTCTACATTTACGGACTGGTGTCGGCGCACTTTTTGCAAAATATCAGTAGAAGCCGAGGGTGAATTCTCGCGTAATCCAAGCGATCGATTTACCGGCGCGAGTTCCGTGCCCAAGCAAAGCGGTACAGATTACGTGGTATCGTACATACGAATAGTAAAATGTCATTCGAATATCTTAATATTCTATTCGCTATTCGATTATTTTGCCCAGCCCTAGACCGGCCATGCTCAAAAAGCTCATTTCGCAAAGATAGGTAGTGGAAAAGGTAGCAAGATTGGAAGCGCTCGTGAACCGCGGCTTTGTGAAATTTATATAAATTCATCGGACGATTAAATATCAGTTATGACGTCATAATACAGCAAAAAACAAAAAAATTCCGCGGAACACCCGAAGGTTTCTCGCGGAACACCGGTTAAAATTCACTGGCCTAACGCATTAAAAATAGGCACACCAGAAAACAAGCTTGGGAGAGTTTTTCGTGCCCTTCACGATTTAATTCCTGCAGAATAGCGTGCATATTTTTCAAATATATAAAATTAAAACTTTATTTAGAACTTTCCTTTTTGAAAGTCATCTCTCGTGTAAGGCAACAAGATAGTTTCGAATTCAGAATCGTGTTTTTTGCACAATTCAGACGCAAGCAGACGGAAGAACAGTGCGTACTCATGTTATGCGAACTAATTTCGAACATTAAGACTTGACCTAAATGTACAATGCACACTGCACTGATGATTCTTGACAATTTACGATCAGGTGCATATGCCTTTTATAAACAATGATCGGCATTCATATAAGGCATCTGTATTTGTCACGTTGAACAATGTTTGTTACGTAATAAATTCATCGAAATGATGTCGTATTGTTGAGAAACACTGTACTTGCATGACATCAAAAGTGTACTCGACAGTGCTTATGTGTCACAGTCAAAAAACCGCTCCGAGGCCCCCCCTAAAATTGCTTTGCAGATCCCTAAGCGTCCGCGGACCTAATTTTAGTACAGTTGCGCTAGCGTTTAACTTGTCGTTCACGAATGAATTAAAATGCCGAGTTTCATTTCCTGTGTGGCAAAAACACTTGTAATCTGAAAAAGTTGGAGAGCGTCCATTATCTTGTCATTTAGCCTACCTTAATTACGGGTATCACTGCAGTAAACTCCTCTATTCAGCTTTTATTCACTTTTTTAACAAAATTGCGATAATCATCAGACTTGTCCAGTTCCGAGCAGTTTTGCGAGTCCGTGTCCCTACTAGAATTTAAGGTTAACAAAAAAATTTGTTCCAAACAAAACTTTCGTTAGCATACATCATAACAAGTATGAATGCTACAATTTATTCCACAGACGGATAACAAATATCTGAATAGGCAGACTTTATTTTTGAATATTAGGCGTCACCAAAAATATATACAAGATAATGTCTAATAGAGTGTTTTGAAAAATTGTAAAATGTTCATATTCTATTCAATCATTCTTCTTTAAATATTTTTACAAGGATTACTTTTGCATGATTGCATCTCTTCGCGTTTGTTACAGGTATTCGGTATCATACATTTTCGACTCCGACTTTTGTGTCCACTTCCACATGTCACGGAACAAGGTCCCCAGGATGACCACCAAGAGAAAAAATCGAGAACTGGAAAATTTTTAACAAAATCTTTTTTATATAAAAAAATGAGAATACTGAAATTAACAAGAAAAAGTGAAATAGTTAATAAAAAGAAGGACATATTAAATGATGAACATATTGGATATTTAGAATCAACTACAATCTACAATTATGAGTGTCGACTGGGAAATTCGTGCATGTGAGATCATAAAACAAAACTTCGAAACAATAAGTAAAATTAAATAAATACAAAGTCTAGATATGTTTAACTATATTTTTATGAAAAAAAATCCTATCTTGTATTCAGCTATATCGTCTAGTTCTAGTTCAGCCAGACGGGCTTTTGATTTTCGGTTTGGATCGTTTTCATAAGCTTAGATTTGATGAAAAGCGATGATTTGATGAAACTTCTTCAAACGTATGATTGCGCTTAATAGCATGGGGTTCAAATAGGTTTAAAAGACCGATGAACTTAACAAACTTCAATTACAGAGATATAAATTATAACTGTATCATACATTTGTTAGCACAAGGACGAGTCGAACATTTTCTTGTAAGCTTCACGCTCAATACACCATGTGTACGGTATTGGACACCGGTTCCACAAGTCTTCGAACATTTTGACCATTCGGATTTCCCATTTGTGCCTGGAATGCATAGCATCTAACGGTTATGACCATCGCCAATATAGCACTGAAAGATATGTCCAACAAAAGTATTTTTCGCTAATGTGCGACATTCTTAATTATGCTATTGTACATTACGTCTCATCTTATACATTTCTCAATTATCTTGATACAAAACATCCCAATTATCATTCAGGCGGGAGGCATTTGACAACATCAATAGAACTAGATTTAAACCTAATAAACAGCACATCTTGCGCAGCTGCGCGAAGTATCAAACCAACTGTCCATATAGCAGTCCAATGAGCCGGCGGTATACAAAACACATCAGCAACATTATTTAACATCATTTCCCCTTACCTTTTGTTGTTGAATTCTTGCCAAGTTTAGATGACGCAGCATTTTTAAGTTGTTCTTTTGGGTTCACATTTTTTGCCGATTGTTTTACATTTTCAATTTGATCTTTTGGGTTTACTTTTTTTGCCGATTCTTTTACATTTTTTGACAAACCTTCATAAAAGTTTTTTGTGTGAATTATGACAGTGATTTGTCGGTAAGTAAGGTGGTATATATATAGTTTTGTACTTCATGAAATTATTTTACAGGTTGAAAATTTTAAATACGTGGTGTTGAAAATGGATAAGCAAGGAATAATTGAAAATTTCGTTTTCTTTTTACTACGATAGGCCTACATTATTCGTTATTTAGGTGTTTTAAATAAACAAAATGAGCAAATCTTTGAAAAACTTCTGTTATTTTACTACATATAAAAATGAAGAACGTTGGCGATTATATCACATATAACGCTGAAATTATTATTTTTTTGATTCAACCCAATATTGCAGTAATAAAATACATAGTAATATTACACCGAACAATACACAAAAGCTTACCCGGTATTCGAAATCTGCCTGTAAAATTAAAATTAATGTGAGCTTTGATTTAAAATTTGGTTTGTGCTTATCTTCACTCGGGAATTTTGCGAGCATGGTAACTGTACAAGAACCAGCCCCTTGAAACATCCGAAGGCCCGGTATTATCAGATCGTGCAAAGCGGCAACTTTTCCAACCAAGGGGGGAATTCCTTACTAGTAAGGCAACAGAATGGCATAGCCTATAGAGCCATAAAAAGCATACCTTCAGTTCCATTGACAAACAATACTATCACGAAAAGTAGAGATAGTATTATGATAAAACTTTTCATCGCTTTCGTACTTTAGATTTATGAACGTTCAAACTGATCACATATTACAGACAAAATATTTGATAAATGTTCCGGCTCATTATTCGAATCTTCAGGACGGAAGTAAATATTTTTACACACAAGTCACTGTATCCGGAATTGATCACGTTAGTATACTATTAAAATATTTTATTTAATTCATTTTAAAATGATTCAGTGGGTTGAAATTGAAATGAAAATGTAATTGACCATGTACGAAAAGATGTGTCTGACCTAATGGCGCCATTTAGATTGTATTTTAGTAAATTTAGTGATATGTAGGCTACTCAATTTTCAGTAAAAACTACTAATTATAAACAATAACAGCGTATTTTGTGTAAAAACAGAAAAATCAAGGATCATTTTTAGATGACGACGGTCATTTATTTTGGACCTTTTCCAGTGGTCAGTAACACCAAGTTGGTTTATCATTAAACATACCATAGATTATTCTCCACTCGAGAAGAAAAAACTTAACTTAATATTTATTAAAATTGCATTGATTTGTGGTAGTAAATTTTATAAATGCAAGACATTTGCTAATTATGATGAAGCATGAAGCGATGCAATTAATATTTAGGCAAGCCCAACGGCGAAAAGGTGTGAATGAACATGCTTTTCGTATTAGCAACCACGATTTTGAGCTCCATTTCAGGTGCTACGTGTGCTTTTAAGGGCGCTTCAGAAGTATGTGTACCAATATGGAGTTAACTAAGTTTGTTCGCCTACTTTACATCAAGTTGTGTAAAGGGACGGCAGCCTACGGGCAGGCGGTATATTCATGTGACTAACACAGACCGTCTCCGAACTCGTAATAGAACTAAAATGAGGAAAATCGGAATGAAATTATAACCTAACCCTAACGTACACACACTACGGCAGTACGCATTTGAGAGCATTTGACATAAAGACATTACTATATCGTTGAGTATATATATTGTATTGGTCAGTAAAGTAAGCATATATATATATATATTAAACTGATATCACAAACATTAATTAGATAATTTGTTACTTATTCAATTAACGGAAGTATAAATACCAATAAATAATTTATTGCTGATTAATAATGTTGATATTACGATTTTTGTTATTATTTGCTAATTTTGGTATTTGCGCTTGTTTCTTGATGATATATATGATTTTATAGTGCAGAATCACAACATATAAGCATGGTGATGAAAGCTCGTCGTTCCGCCGATTACCACAGGCAATTAAGTACATTTTCTCCTATTCAAAGCCACCCACGCCTAAGATTTCCTAATACATCTACTCTATTGTACTACTCGTTTGTAATGTTGTTGAATATAAATGTTGCCCAATTTTCCTACCACCAGCGAATGTCTTAAGCTGGCGACAATGTGGCAACGGTAGAAACGGAAAAGTGGTACCGGTATGCCAGAGTTTATTACTAAGTAATTCAGTGTCAGGTACAAGTCCTCTCAAACCCCAAATGATGTCGAGTCACAGGTCATCCGAGTCAAGAGTGAGTCCCGGCAAATTTTTCGAGTATGAGTAGATTTGAGATGAAATGGATTAATAGGAGTCATATGGACACTAAGATTTTCATTCCATGTTAAATCGAAGCTATATTTCAGGAAATCAAACTAGGATTCTATCTTGTATTGACAACATTTTTTTCCTCTATTTGTGCGAAGTTATTATTCGATAGTATAATGTTGTATTGTTATGCTGGCGACAATTTGACCACGGAAGAATCTAATTCGGATGCACGGAAAAAGTAAGATTTCCATCATGTCCAGCGAAGCTACTTTTTAAAAGATCAAACCAGAATTTAATCATGTATTGACGAACGTTCAACTCGACAGTCGACACCATGGTCTATATTTTGAGTTAATGTTGCAACACGCTATTAAATTATCAATTATCATTATTCATAGTAAATTGCATTTCACCAAAATTATATTAGAGTCTTAAAATTCAAGTCTCTCTGGCGATTAGTTGTATCCGATCTTTGCATCCGAATGATTCGAGTGCCTTGAAGTCTTTGTGAAAAAGGCAACTCAAGTAACTGAATCGAATCTCTACAGCACTGCATAGTAATACAAATACTACCAAAAACAAGAAGATAGTTCACCATTTCGGATCATTTATTTAATTTTATAGAAGATCAAATCACAAAAAAAATCTATTTATCAGAAAGGCCACAAATTCATTCAGTGGGTTATTTTACAATGATCGTTATTGTCACAAAAATCATTTTCACTTCCGAAAACGTTTGTAGAATTCACTCAGTGAGACAGAATGGAACAAATTCTACATATTATCCCACTAAGTGACTATGTACAATGAGCATTCAGTTATCGTTCAAAAATCAGCATGGGTAGGTAACATCCACAACCCCATTTTTACGCTTGGGTCAAAACTTGGTGATTGCAATCAAATTTAATATGTTATATTTATGTACAAATAAATAAAATGAACGTACCAACTTATTTCAAAACGCAAATTAAACTTCGATCGCCCACATATTTTCAAATGTTTATCAAATATAATTAAAATGCTATAACAACTAACAAAGAATATATTTGACATCAACTTATTCCTGTATCCGTTAACTAAGCCTTTAAAATATAATTCTAGAATTTTAGAGAACAGACCATGTTGAATGACATTGAGCAACCAATGCCAAAATACTATAACCATGGAGACTGAAAAAACAGCAATCATTATGAACGCAATAAGCTTTTCACAAGTATCTTCCATTAGTTCAAATGAAAACAGCGAGAACAAATAATTACAATTCTACATTCAGATATCTCCATTGTAAGGTTGGCGAATGTTTGATGCATATTGGGTGAAAAAACTAGTTTTTTAAACTAAATTATAACTTTAGAAGATTTTTCGAATTTCAAGAAACGAGATTATCGAAGTGTGAAATTTTAACGATTTTTCAAAAAATGCCCTTCTTCGAGTTGAATGCTATTTTTGTTCAAATATAATCTTGTTTCAAAAAAGTAATAAATTGAAAATATCACTACATAGCCTAATTTTATAACAGTGCAAATTGTGATTCCCAACAGAAACTCACAATTGTAAATGAAATAAAAAGCAAGTATAATTAAGGAAACATTACTTAATTACTATAATTAATAGCACTTAATCATTAAAAACAACTAAAATAATTAAAAACAGACAATATTAAATTAAATAAATAAAGGGAATAAAATTCCCGATTGTACGTATTTCACATAGAAATGGCACCAAAAAAAAGTCGCAATTGCGAGGATGAAAATCTCACAGAATGTCGAAGGGTAGTGCAAGGCCGGTGAACCAAAAGAGACAATTCTTTCAACTGGCATAACTCCATAGATTCTAGCAAAGATTGGAATACTTTAAAAAGCTAATGAAGCTTTTCAAGTAAAAAAAACATTTCAGTATGTACCGAAAAACAAGTGATATTTGCAAATACACAAAGCTAGTAGCCATAAATTTCACTTTATAAAATTTACAAAGGGAACACCATATTTTTGCGAGAAGTTTTTAGAAAATTTCACTTTAATAAAATTTACAATGGGAACACCATATTTTTGCGAGGTGGTTTTGAAGTAATGCTTTTTTTGCACAAGAAACACTGAATTCCATTTCAATCTGTTTTTCTCAATTTTGTTCTTAACTTCATCGAGTACAGCTCATCAACTTATGACAGCTAGGTTATTTTGATCCCAAAGTCTAAGAAACTGTTTATGGGAAGCATATAATGGACACGAAAACAGTCGTGATTTTGAAAATGCAATTTACAATTTGTCTTCCTTAATCTGGGGTTCGTTATCATCATCTTGTATAGTTACAGAAATGAATGGAGGTGGGTCGTCATCATTATTATTTGTGGTATTGGTCTTATTTGCCTCGTTAATTACTGTCAATTTGTGATTGTTACCAGAATTCATATTCGGAGACCTGGATGGACTTTTCGAAGGCGGAGACGATGTTTTCTTAGGTGGAAACGAGTATTGTGGGGGTTCGATGATTTCTTCTGCCCCCTTTCTTTTACCCTTTTTGCTTCTTTTTTCTCTGAAAAATATCAAGGTAGACTTGTAATTATTGATTGCAGATTCGGAAGTCAAGAGTTTGTCATGTTATTATTGATATCGAAGTGGAAATTTACAGAAATTCTTCGAAGTTCGGACTTTTAATGGTGAAGACTATAAAGCTGATAAAATTCAAAAATGTGAAGTTGACTGAACATTCACAACAGGCAATAAAGAAGGCTCGCAATAAGAGTTAAAATGTTATTTAGCACGGAGTCAGTGTCTTGCAACCTACCTTTCTTTTAAATCTGTTCCTGAACCTCCAAGTTCGTTTCTAACGATTGTTTTCCAAATCGCTGTTTGTGCCATTTCCTTTGTGATATTTATACTTGTTGGTTCATCAGGACTAGAATAATAAAGTTTTTATTGAAATAACAACGGATAATAAAGTTAGTGGTCTCAAAAGCCAAAGAATTTAGGAAAAGGCTGGCGAAATGCACATTGTTACATCAGAGTCGGATCCTCAAACTCATCTGAGGTAAGTTGGAGTGAAGAGTTAAAATTTTATTCTGGTTTTTGGACCCAAATTTTCAAAACTAAAATAGGAACAGAATTTTGTCACTTTAATATGGTTTACAATAATTTTTTTTTTACGAATGGCTTGCAGGTGAAGGCTTAAGGAATTTCAATCAAATGACTCCACATTTCCATAGGCACCAGTATGAAAATTCTTAAGCACTATGTAGATAGAGTAGTAGCATGGAGAACTTAAATTAAAAATTCTCGAAAATGGATGGGGTACACATACTTGTATTTGATTTCAGAAACAGGGATTTTCAAAACTTTTCCATCTTGTAGAGGTACGTTGACTGTTCCTTGTCCAGACATTGCAAGCTTTACGAAAAAAAATAAAAAGGATATTTCAATGTAAATATATATCATGTTCTTCGCTTCATTCTGAGAAATCTGCAGTTAATGGCTAGGCACCAAAATTGAAAATATTAAAAAGAAAATTAATCAAAAAACAGAGGAAATTTTCAAATTATTCTCATACAAACAACCCAATCATCATATGTCCTTGATAAAGTGTTTTAAATTATAATAACACACCAAATCTTGTTTATTTTGGTCTTCTTGCTCTTTACGCTTCTTCGAATCCTCTTTCCTCTTCTTAGTTGATTCAGGCATGATATCGTCCAGCCAAAACAATTCTTCTTGTGAGAATATACAATAATCGAATGCTTTTCGAACTCCGACAAGAGCGGCAACCTGTTAATTATAGATTAACAACATGAAGCAGTGCTAGTATAGTCTGCATCGCAAGGCCAGTCTTAACTATTGCGGGGCTCCATGAAATTTATTTGAGTAGAGATGAAGATAGTGACTGAAAATTGATATTTCGTAATAGAAAATGGCTGAAATAAAATTGAATTTCTCATATCCAAGAGAGAATCCGGACAAAATCATTGTAAATTGAACTTGATAATGCAGAATTGATAGCCTAGTCCATGTTTTTATGTTAGAGTAAATATACATACAATATTACAGATATTGGGCCATTGTTTTTTTTAACTTCCTATATTTTACAGCAGAGGTGTGCAACCTGCGGCCCACGGTAAAGGGGCGGGTCACTTTTGGGGTGGTGCCAGACGAGTTTTTAATATAATCTAGTATGTGTGAGTAATTCCTTTGCAGTGCCTATATCTGGGCTTGTGCAAAGCGAGCAACGCATGTCACAAGATCAATCTCCAAAATTTTTGTGACAACAACCACTAGAAAGCCCATGGTTTCATCTAGTTATTTGTATCTAGCTCTCATGTATTAAAGGTAGCACACCCCTGTTTTACAGCATCAAAAGTCTGACCATCGAATCACAGACGGATGAAACAAAAATCTCACCATCATTGGAAATATAATAGAGACTGGCTTTGTAGACTTGATAACCCACAGAAGTACGAGACCAACGACTTGAAAAAACGTGAACAAGTAGACTTTAGGTAAAGGTACATGACGAAGGTAAATGAAGTCGGGTTGATGTTTCGGAGGCATAAATATAAGTTTGCACCTGTCGATGAATTGTACACCTGAAAAAAGAAATTACATTTACTCAGCGATTGGCCTTCACAAGGCGAAAGTAGTCACTCACATGAAAAGATGTATAAACACTCATATCAAAACTAATAAACACTCAGTCACTCTGGTTTTCATACTCAGTCAGGGCGCACTCTGGGTTCACTCTTAATATGTCTCTAAACAAGCAGCATTGGCAGCAGATTACCGGTAGGTGTTTACTCTACAATAAAATCGTTTTAAAACGAAGAAAATATATTTTTATACGACGCTCATTAAAGCCTTTTCCTTCTGAATAAAGAATTGTACATACAGTCACTATTACAACTATTAACTTACCTTTGAGAGATGAAACTCCCATGTACAGAAAAACTCCATATAGCACCGGCATGGGGATGTACGCCAAAATCGGGGTCATGAATACGGACAAGCCGATAAGTACAAAGATCATAATTCCAGTGACCCTTTGTTCACGGACCCCTAAAAATTTCGGGGTTTCTCCTGGGGCTGCTGACTCGGACTCCATTTTTAAAGAGTTGACATGGGTGATACTGAGAACGGTGGCGGCTACGAACCAAGGTAATCCGAGTATGGAACACAATATCATCATTATTGATACGACAAGAAGATCCAAATGATAACCGCACCCTTTCTGTTAAAGTGAATTGTAGAAACTGTTTAATGTGATTTCTCATTGGTTCCTTTTTTTATCTAATCGATACTTATTCAAGCTCCGAGGGAGGCTCTGAACAAGCTTCTACCGATATCCAACAATATGTGAGAAGCTATTTTTTCAATGACAGTTATCTTCCCTGCTCGACTTCGCCAACCCAATTCAATACAACTTGGGTGAAATGGCAGGCACGGAAAAATTGAAATCACACAATTTAACCCAACATATAAAATTGTTTATGTGTGTGTGAAAAGAATGAAGTGTGAAATGAATCATACTATGTATACAAATTTACTAATATATCTACAAAATTGTGAATTTTACATATTTTAGAGCAGTTTTTCTTAAAATTTCATAATAAGCATCCCCTTTCAATGGACTTTTAGCACTTGCTTGGTAATAAAAATACCTACGGTAGTTTAGATTTCCATCAGTTATTTTATGTATCATGCTTAATAATTGGAAATCAATAAACAAAAGCAATAGAATCAGAATCTTGAATGGGGCCTAGCGAAGGCTTTCGTTCACTGCCCCCAGAGAACTGCTCAAGAGGCCCCCTAGAGGGATCAAGAGCACAGTTTAATACACCCTATTCAAAGTAAAGGAGAGCAAAACAAAATTCAATAAACCAACCTTTAGCTTATTTTCCTTCCTGTTGACAATAACTGCTGTGATCTGTTGATCCATAAATATAAGAATCGTGCAGAGTAACGCAGGAACAATAGCAAGAGGGATTGTCCACCATTCGTTCTCTCCAAGGGGGCTGATCAACCAAGTCCTATCTTCTCTTGTAGGCTGCAAAACCGAATTTTAAATAAAGAAAGATCTGACAAAGCTTGGTCCTGGCATAGTATACATCTACATGTTTGGTTAAGCTTGATCGAACATAATACCAAAATGGAATTTTCACAATAAATGTTTACAAGTTATTATATCAGACCTCTGACTCTGAGCAAGGATCTACATAAGCATTCCATAGAATGAAATCGACTAATATTTTGTGAGGGCCACACTCGAAATTTCGCCTAAGAGATGTTTTTTACACTTCGACTCAGAATAAAACCTTACACAAGCAGTCTATTATACGCAAAGATTACTATGTTGAAAAAAAAAGGTAATTTTCAATTCCGCAAGTTCTATCTAACAACGTACGACATTCTGAGTAAGGTGGTATAACAAATATACGCATAAAGCATAACAGCATGTTGGAATTTCAATTTGCAAAAAAGGTGCTCCTGAAATATGCGAACCAAGATGGCACACAACCTGTACATAGTATGTGTACCAGGTTAGGGTTATCAGGTTGTGTGCCATCTTAATGCACATACTATGGGAGCGCCACGAAAAAATGCATTCAAAAAAATTCTGTATATTTACCCTGAAAGAGTCTGGAACGAGCAGTTTAGGTGTATTAAGCTTCATTAGGATATCGAAGAGCACCATTAAAGCGATTGCGATTGTAACAGAAAAATCGCTTATAATTGAGCGGACCTAAGAATAGAAAAATATATGATATTCACGAAAGCATTTAGATCACAAATAAGAATGTTACAAACTTACAATATATTTCTAATACTGTTATCTGTTTATAGTTAGGGTTACCCATTTGCCGACCAAATTTCTATGACAGGATTATTTTCCAATAATTTTTTATATATAAAATTTGCCGTTTCTTAGATCAGGGGTCTCCAACTCCAAACATGTCGCGGGCCGCAAACCAAGAAATTAGGTACAAAAATGGGTATCTGAATGTATTGTGTTGAAATTACATTGAATCGACAGTAAACGAGACATGAAACATATTCATTCACTTGTGCTTGATATTTAGTCTCGATGTTTGGCCCTATTTTGCGTTAGTCGAGTGCGGAAGGCTGACTTGCTAACTTTCATAGTCGAAAAAACTGCTCCCAAATATAAGAACAAGAACTGCCAAAAATCGCAGGTATGCAAAGTGAATCTGCAATTAGCTTTGCAAACCTTTCTTCGGGCACAATGGACTGACCGAAAATCGTTTATTTCGTCACAATGAACATGCGAAATGAAAATATCGCATTTATAATTGCATTATAACAATATAATAAAACATGAATGTGGACAACGGGGGGAATTTTGCTTCACTTTTCACAGTTTGTCGGTCCGGACTCTTAATAATAAATGACACGATAAAACCTACTATTAGTTGACATCGTACTAATTTAGTTTTTTGTGGAAAAATCCCAACCATGACGCAGGCCGCAAAAAAATCGGTTGGAGACCCCGTGTTGTTCAACCCCGCGTGTTGGAGACCCCTGTCTTAGATACTTCCCAGGCCCTATTGAGTCTTGAATTGCTATTAAACTGAAAGAAACTGAAAGCTGATGTTAAAATTTGTATCTGTGATAACAGTATGAGTAAATTTCTTTCACTTATGAATGAATTAGTCTTTGAGACATTTCTTTGAGGAGATAAACATAGAAGTTTCAGAAAAAACTTTCTGTTACATTTACATATATAGCAATTGCAAATGGAGCTGGAGTTGAACTTTCAAACTGCCCGAAATTGAAGTCTGAATTTTTCAAGTCAGGAGATTGAATTTTAAACTTTCAATGATGACAATAAAAGTCTTCAGAAACACAACAAGCATCAAGTTTACTAATCATTCTTAACAGTCCAATCACGCCACTTATTTTATCAATAGTCAATTTTTGAGTACGAGTCAAAATTTTGAGTACGAGTCAAAATTTTTCCTCACCCATGAGTAGGACTAGGACTTTTTATCAATTTGAAATCTGAGATGAATGTAAATTTTATCCCATCCCACAGTCCTTTTAGCAATACCAGCTCAAAAAATTAAACAAAATCGCATTCCTCATTGCTCACCTTAGTTGGGAAGAATCGTGACAGTTTCAAGCCTTTCAAGTACATTGAAATCGTAAAAGTACCAAAGAAGAGGATAACAGACATCAGCATACCATCAGGTGTATAAGGGCATGATTCTCCAACAAGATGTCCACAAAAACTCTCAATACAGGTCTGCGAACAATACAAAAACGGTATTAAAATGCAATCATTTTGAATGTTCTAATCATATAAATGAATAAAATGTTCTGGGTCTTGGTAGTTATACAGGATGTTCATTCAAATCTTACAATTTGTGTTTTGTTATTAGGTCAGTTTTAACAATATTTTAACCAGTTTTTGTTCTATTTTAATCAGTGTTTGTTCAAGTTTTTTACTTCATTCAATACACCTTTATATGTCCACCATTAGTTGCACGAAACACATCAAAGTTCTTTTACCTAATTTAATACAGGACATGATCAACACTGATAAGTAAATAAGTAGTTTGGGATGAATCATTATTTTTGAGCAATAGTTGAAAAAAATGTCATGCCGGAAAATTTTCATTTACTGATAATTAGGCTTCCCGCTGCTTGTCAGCAGGGAACCTATTGTATTCCTGTGTTTTATTATTATTATTTATTATTATTATTATTATTATTTATTTTTATTATTTTTTTTTCAAATTGGTCCTACAAACTTGAAATTCACCTCAAATGTGCAGAAGTTCTCAGCTAGCAATAAAATGCAAATTTTATGCATGACTGACCACGCTTTCACGCTCCAGTGAGCAAAACGCGTTTTCAGTTTTTTTGCGATTTCTCAAAATTGATACACGCTATTGGGTTGAAATTCATAGCAATGATTAATAGACATTTTTCGGATACAATATGTCAAGGATACGCATGAGTGACCTCAGCGATACGCTCCAGTGAGCAATATAGGATTTTACATTTTCATCTTCTTCTCGAGAACGACACTACTGAGAGACTTGAAATTTACATCACATGCAGATATTAGGACCTCCATCATAAATTGCAAATTTTATGCATGACTGACCACGCTTTCACGCTCCAGTGAGCAAAACGCGTTTTCAGTTTTTTTTGCAATTTCTCAAAATTGATATATGCTATTGGGTTGAAATTCATACCAATGATTAATGGACATGTTCCGGATACGATATGTCAAGGATACGCATGAGTGACCTCGGCGATACGCTCCAGTGAGCAATATAGGATTTTACATTTTCATCTCCTTCTCGAGAACGACACTACTTAGAGACTTGAAATTTACATCACATGCAGATATTAAGTCCTCCATCATAAATTGCAAATTTTATGCATGACTGACCACGCTTTCACGCTCCAGTGAGCAAAACGCGTCTTCAGTTTTTTTGCGATTTCTCAAAATTGATACATGGTATTGGGTTGAAATTCATAACAATGATTAATGGACATGTTCCGGATACGCTATGTCAAGAATACGCATGAGTGACCTCGGCGATACGCTCTAGTGAGCAATATACGCGTCTTCAGTTTTTTTTACGCGGGAAGCCTGTTAAAGCTGCACGCAGCTCTAGTTATAATTAAAATTAGTGTTTTTTAGTAACAGTCCTCGACGTTATAAAGCGAAGATTTGTGTTGAATTTTATAACATAAAATACGGCAAAAACATGATTTTACTGCTTATTAAGACTTTTTTTGAATTTTAAAGTTTGAAAATCTTGAAAAAAAAAACTATGCGGGAAACGCAGCACGCGGTCAAATATTAAAAAATGAACAATTTCGAATACTGTTTTTTTTCCTCTAAATATGACAATAACAGAGGCCATGACTCACAGGTTTGTCCAAGGCATTCCATGTAACATTGTTGATATCAGAAACGTTAAAATTAATTCCGTCATATGAGCAAGTATACGCAGCTTCATCAGTTCTGTATAGTGAACCTGGAAATAGAGTATCAAAAAGAAACTTAATAACGGGTTTATTCATGAAATTTTGTGAAAATTTCCCATTAGTGATACAAAAATAGGGTAGCTTATAATTAAATAGGTGAGTATTCTATATTCCTATATCACAAGTAATTTCTGACGTATGGTATATTTCAAATTTAATTCTATTTCTCAAACTGGGAGCGCCAAGTGATTCTCTGGGGGCCATTCTGGCGATTTCCGGAAGCCAGGTGTCATTCGAGTCCAAATAGTTGCTAAAATAGATGTTTTCAAAAAACATTAATTCTACAACTTTATTAACTAAAAATTTTTTTAGCACCGACATTAAAAACGCTTTATATTCTTCTATTTAATTCAAGTCAGGACAATAGATTCTTCATTTCCATTGTAACAAAACCCCATTAAAAATGAGACAATCACATAGACCATTTTTGGCGATTAAAATATGATAGCTTACTCAAATACAGACTATTATACAACGTGGAGAGTATAATTCCGCAAAGCATATCGGACCCACAGAAATACTATTTGTTTAATAGCTGACAGAATAAATTACATATTACAGTAAATGGAGCACGTCAATGTTTGAATTAAACCAATAGATTAAACTAGTGGTGTCCCGCCAATACATAGCAAATATTTATTGAGGTTGTCTTAGACAAATACATACTGTCGGAATTGAAATAAAATTTTCCTACTATACTAAATGTCTTCCAATTTGCCCAAATAATGATTTGCCATGCAAGGCCCTAAATTAGCACACAAATTGTCCACTCAGTGAGTTGTGATTTTATTTTATCATAGATTGGCAAAGTATAAACTATCAAAGTCTATACTGAAAAGTTCTATCTGTATGAGTGGGAGTAATGAAATCCATAATTATATATATGCTTTCAATTTCTTATCTTCTGTACCAAGATGGCGCACAACCTGAACCCTAACCTGGTACAAATACTATGATCAGGTTGTGCGCCATCTTGATGCACATACTTTTGGAGGTCCCAAATATCTCACCATTAATATGCATGCCATGAGATTTCAGTGCTTTTTCCTTTGATTCGAATTTAATCTGCTCATAATCCAAGTTCTCCGTGATGTTGTAGGACGTAAGATTTGGAGCGGCACATTCACATCTACAATGATAGAAAAAATAATAAGTAATAAGATGAGGGGAAAGACATCAGAGTGTACAAGACAGTGTAAGAGTTTTAAGGATTGGTCATGGTCATAACTCATCTATGATCTCTGTTGAGCCGAGTGGGAATAGTTTTGAGAAAGAGAGTCAAAAGCTGAATGAGGAGAAAGTATAATATCAAATAGTACGAAAATGAGACGAATTTTAGTAAACTGCGTTTAAAAAAGTGTATGACGATATTGTCGTTTTCTTCTCTACCCACACTCACCCGTAAAACGTCACCAAATCTCCATTCCATCCATACCATATTTGAAGTTTGTCACCAATTGAAATCAATTTCTGAAATTGAATTTATTAATTAATTATAAATTGAACTATATAATTATTATTTACAATTGAGAAATTAGCAAATGAAAACTACCAACTTATGACATATCATTCAGAAGAAAAAAATATTGTATGGTTTACATAGTGGTGCTCCTGAAGTGTGTGTGCCAATATGGAGTTAACTAATTTTGTTCGCTTATTTTACATCAAGTTGTGTAAAGGGACGGAAACCTATGGGCAAGGGGTTTATATTCATTAGGCAAACACAGACAGTCCCCGAACTCTTAATGGAGCTAAAATAACGAAAATCGGAATGAAATTATGGCCTAAACCTAACATGGAGTACCTTCATAGTTGATATATGTTTATAAACTACAAAGAATGGAATTTCAAAAGTAGGGCCATTAGGGTTGAGATTCACTCGAAGTGGGCCACGGTTTATTAAAGTTTGAGAACTACAGACCTAATTCCAGTATTAGTAAAAAAAAAATTACCTTAAAAGCCTCAAATATGAAAATCAAGGAGATCAGTGCTGAAAATGTTTCTTCTGTATACCTAGTGATGTATTGAACGAGACTGCTGGCGTCCGTTGCCACTAAAAGGAGACGAAAGAACTTTTCTATGAACATGGATCAGCACAAGCACCCACTCAAACATAAACAGAAAATTTTTTCCAAACGACTATCTCAAAAAAACCTATAGGAATCTAGTCAAATCTATAAGAATCCACTCAAATATATATGGTAATATTATGTTTTTTGGAGCACTGACATTTTCAAGTCTAACACAACTCACCCAATTCTTCACATTATGGGTGAGGTGAGTGGGATTTTGACCAGGTCTCAAAATCAAGATCGATACCCCATCATGGTTGGCCATATCAAAAAAACTCATCTTTGTTATGTGTTATGATTTTGATATAGATATACGACATACGTAAATATGCAGTAATACACTATTCTGCCGCAGTCATCTTTGACTTCCAATAATTACAACTATAATTCTGAAAAAACTTATAAATAGTGTAAGACAGAAGTGTGCAACAGGCGGCCCGGTCCGCCAAACCATTAAGTGTGGCCCTTGTCATCACTCAGGTTTTTCCTTTCAAACTCCTAATCTGACATTTTTTTTTAAAAAGGTGCTCACAAGGATAAAAATACATAATGATTTTTTGCCCTTGTCGCTGCGTTTAATCTTTCGTCATGTTGCCCGGTGTAAGGCTAAGCGTTAGTAGCATAGTGGCTACACCTGGAATATTTGTTCGTCAAAAAAACTTCTTTATACCTAGTATTATGCAGAATACGCCAGTCCAAGTACCAATCCACCATCGTATAGGCAGATACTCCATCCCAGCTGACCTGTAATATTGTAATAATACCAATAAAATTTAATAATAGGTAAATGTAAAATACGCGAAAAAAAATACTTACGTGCATATATCGAACATGATCTTCTCAAAAACTAAGATGGGACCAGTGCTACCAATAATAGTCAGTGGTTGTCCAGAAAATAAATGAAAAGCTGTACCAGCCATCGCAGCACCAAAAATGGATTCCATAGCACTCTAAAAAGTAATGAATAATATGCAAATAAATAAACATTTTAAAAGACGATAGTTACTGGTATGATAAAGGCTGCCTTGAAACAAACAAAAAAAGATCATATTTTTTCCTCTTCAGTTTGTTACTGAAGTTGAGTTAAAATTTCGTTCAACTTAAATTCTGCGTCAAAAGTTGTTTTAGTCCAGATCGGGAATCATACTTTAGAGTCGCTTTCTCTCTAGCATCTTCGCTCGGACTAAATTTTCACATCCGTGTGTGCCAGATTCACATATTTAAAAAAATGTTCATAAAGAAAACAAAAATACATTAAACTTACAATATAATTATGCGTGGCATCTCCGAGAAGACCTCCGAACGTAACGATAGGTGTGAGTACCGCAAAGTAGAGAAAAATGAAGGAAGCAACACATTGAATACTTAGTGCATCTCGAAAATCTGATACGAAAAATGGTGCTTTGCGTTTGATATCAGCAACCAGACCACCAAACAACCTAAACAATAAAATGTGGTAAAATATTACAAAATAAAAAAATAGTATAGTATCTAACTTGTTAAATAATGCAAAGAATATAAAAATTATGATTATGTGTAACGTAAATCATAGAATTTTTCCAAGTTAACTTTTATTTAAAAATTTATATTTATATGACTTTAACTCAGAACAAGGCTCTGTACCAGCGGCCATTGCTAGGGAAGAAAGCTAATATATTTTGAAAGAACTCTTTCCGGTTCCGCCTGTTCAATTTATTACACTCTGCATGAGGTGGTGGGCGTGGGACTTGAACGTGTTATAACACAGGAAAATATCATCACGAGTGTGTGACGACTGACGAGACTTTGCAAATGTTGTTATCAAGTTTGTTTTGTACTTTACAATGTTCCTTATAATTGCATTAGTAGTTTCAATACAGGTTTTTATCTATCTTCAATAAATATTAGTGTATTGTCTGACGAGTACGTGAGCAAGTCTTGTCAATCACATTTCTGTTCACCTATTTGTAGATATGTTATTGTACCTGTAATACATGTGTGAACAATTAAGCAAACATTTAGTGCAGCAATTGCTGCAATATGCTGTTAAACTTTGCATTTTTCCAAAGACCTCACTCAATTTGACACAATGAAAATACCTTCAAAGTTTGTTTTGTACTTTACAATGTTCATTATAATTGCATTAGTAGTTTCAATACAGGTTTTTCTCTATCTTCAATAAATATTAGTGTATTGTCTGACGAGTACGTGAGCAAGTCTTGTCAATCACATTTCTGTTTACTAATTTGTAGATATATTGTTGTACTTGTCTATAACACATCAGCAGACTACTTTGGCGAACATTTAGTACAGCATTTGCTGCAAAAAAGCTGTTACGTATTGCTTTTTTTTTAATGTCAGCAAAATTGAAATATTGAAAAAGTATTGCAAATTGGCCCCTTAAATATGTGCTATGGTAATTTAAATATAAATTTTGTGAGATGGACATGGGTGTCCATGAAGTCCTGTCACTTACAATTGAAATTTTGTTATGAAGTCAGTTCTTAATATATCTTAACCAGATTTGTTTAATTTTAATCAGTGTTCATTTAGGTTATTCTTTATTTCATTCAACACACCTTTTTATGCCTATCATTAGTTGCACAAAGAACATCAAAGTGCTTTTACCTGATCTAATAACAGACTTTATAAAAACACCATGTTATCTGAGAGTTCACAAATGTTGTTATCAAGTTATAGTTTGTTTTGTACTTCACAACGTTCATTATAGTTGCATTAGTAGTTTCAATATAGATTTTTTTTATCTTCAATAAATATTAGTTGATTGTTTGACAAGTATGCAGGCAAGTCAATTACGTTTTCTGTTTGCTAATTTGTAAATATATTGTTGTACTTGTCTACAATACGTCAGCGAACTATTAAGCAAACATTTAGTACAGCATTGGCTGCAAAAAAGCTGTTAAGTATTGCCACCTTGTTATTGGAAATGTCCTATATTTTCAGTGGTAAACAAAGTTGTTGGGCATAATTTGACAGTCTTCTGATTTGGCTTCGAAAATAATCTAGTTAGACTATTCTAAAGTGAAATTGATTGCAACACAAAATTTTGAAATACTCAAGATTTTTTATGCAGGCATCGCTACGTTTATTTATACCGCTGAAAAGTAGTAGAATACAAAAGTTTGTTGCTTGGGAAAAAGTGAATTCAAGCAGGCAATTTAATTTTAGTATAACAGATAACAAACAAAAATATTACCAATCTAAAAAATTTTGACTTCGTTTAGAAAAAAAAACAAAATTTGATATCAAAATCTTTGAATTCTTTCTTCGATAGACTGTTTTAAGATTGCTAAAAGAACCTAATGATTTTTGAAAGAGAATATAATGTATACAAAGGCAATATACAGCAACAAAAATATGTAATTTCTGATAATCTGAAAATTGCATTTCAAAACAATGCTGCAATCTCTGTGGTAAAATACTAAAACCTGTATTTACGCCCGGCCGATAAGGAATTAAAATATGATAAACTAAAGGGTATCAAATTTCATAATGATAATGTATAATAATAAATTTATTGATATGACGATGCAAACGCATGTACTGATGGAGGTCAAACCGGTATGATTTCTTAGTAACCCTATATTATATAATGTACAAACAAGTGTTTCTTTTCATTCATATTTCGATTCATATAACTCTAAACAATGCTTCAATTGTTTTACATCAGTATCCAATTTCTCAAAAATAAATTTTGTATTGTTAAGTCATTTGTACAATTGTGACCAAACAATGGAGTTCTGACCCCTTGAGATAAAACAATACAACCTGGAATGCGATTGATCGTCATTGTAACTATCACATATGCCAAGATTATTTTTGCACCAATCAAAAATGAACACTGAATCATACCTAAGCAGGATATGGTCAGCGAATTGGACATTGTTCTGGTAATTTAATTCTTATTGGTGATTTTCGAAGGTCATTTAGGCTATGGTTGTGATTAGTAAAACAGGGTGTCCATAAAGACCTGTTGTTCTGGTAATTCAATTCTTATTGGTGATTTTTGAAGGTCATTTAGGCTATGGTTGTGATTAGTAAAACAGGGTGTCCATAAAGACCTGTTACAATTTCAAATTTTGTTATGAGGTCAGTTCCTAATATATCTTAATCAGGTTTATTTTCTATAATTGTGTTTATATAAGTACTTTTACGGTAAGAGATAACAAACTACAGTATATATGATATTGATAAAATTCCTTTGCAATTTAAATAATTTTTTGACTTTAAGAACACCACACGGTGTTTATGCACATATAACTTTTATGCACATAAAAACAAAACCCTACTTTCCAGTCCGCTGAAGCTCTGGTCCGACCGCATGAGCCATTTCAACTTTTGCATGCCCATTCTCCATCGTGTTTTCATTTTTCTTTGGTTGTAATCTCGTCATCTGCAAATGAATAGCCATTGTTTCATTATCCAATCAGGTCTTTTTATTTTTATCATGTGACTAAACAAACCTGATTCTTGGGTAAATCTTGAGGAGGTTCAATTCTGATAGTGGAGTCCCATTCACCAGGTGGCAGAACGGTGACTTGATCCAAAAATTCATCAATTCCAGCTAATAGATCTCGCCTTGTTCTAGCTTTATAAGCAACATCATGAAAAACCTTTGAAAAAATGGAGTTCATTTAACATACATTTGTATGTAATTTTTCATGCGTCTGATATTTTTATATTGAGTTATGAGTTTTGCCTGCTCAGAAAATTATCGATGTTTTCATATCAAAATACAGCAATCAGGAATACAGTGCAATGTTGAAATAATATTTTAAAAATTTCCAAATTATTTTTATACAGTAATCACTGATGTAGGCCAAAATTTCAATACAAAATAATTGATTGTTCAATTGAATAAGTGACATTCAGACTCTTCATTGTTAAAAATTTATCAAATTTGAAGCGTTGAAAATAAAATTCGTTTAGAATCTATTTCCTCACCTCATCGGCCATTAAAGTGGCAATTGATCTTCCAATTTCATGGTACTGTTTACGATTTCCGACAGGACCCAGGAGAATAAACAAAAATCTTGTTGGAATAGGAACTTCCGTAAGACCCTCTGTAAAAATTTCAATATTGTACAATTTTTGGCACGTTTGACACAATCGGAAAAATACTATTTCGAATATCACCAATTTTGATTCTTATTTCTAGTCAATAGATGAATTTAGTACAGCAGAAAACTGTCTTTCAATGAAAAATATCTCACCTAGCTGCACACTATCCTGTAGTCTCACAAAAGCAATAATCGGACGTTCCAAAAAATCTATTTCTCCCACCAATACATTTGAAGCTTCAGCCCCTGCTGGAATTTTTTTCATGAAATAAGGTACCTGGAAGAAATAAAAAAATTACGTTGTTGATAAAAAGTTGTGATCGATTATAAAATAGGTTTTTTGTTGTGAGAATTTCATAAAAATTTCTAATAAGTTAATGGAGAATAAAATAGAGTCTAATTTTTATATATGCAAGTTTTTATCAAAAATGCACACCAATATTTGGAAATTGGTACCATATTTTTTTTTGCAAAAATATTCGCAAATTATTCTGATAAGATTGAAACTGAAATGATTTTAAATTAACAATATATTGATTATCGAAAAACTGATCTAAATGACAAAAAAGAGATATATTCTATTAAAAAAAAAACTGGCAGATAAGCACAAGTCTAATTTATAAACAAAATGGGTTGGCAAAAAAATATGCACACCGAAATTCAAACTAAATTACATGCAGTTTATTTATAGGGTTCTGTAATATTTTTAAATATTCTGTTAATAATTAAGACTGAAAACTAAAAAAAAAAAATCAATTGACGAAGACCTATGATGTAGATAAAAAAATTTCAACCAATTGCAGAGCTAATATAAATAAAAGATTAGATTGGGCATCAAGTGCTAATAGAATCAAAGAGTTTGCAGCATTATGATATTCAACACATTGAGAATTCCTAGTACCTTTTTATCTTTCTTCTCGTTATCGCCTGCTGATGAACCAAAATCAGTTGACAGTGGACCAATACTTGTCACTGTTTGTTTACGATGGAGCAAGTTCGGAGCGGATGTGTTTGAAGGAAAACCTACACAAAAAATATCAAATGTTATGTATTGAATAACAGATACTAAAACAAGTTTATATGTTGCCTTTTACTCTGAATAAGGCTCTATACAAGTATTTACTGCTGGGTAAGAGGTTACTATAGTTTGGAAGTTTCTGTTCAGCTATCCAATTTATTACACGCTAGGTGAGGTGAGAAGCATAAAAAATTTAATCTGGGATGCCAACACAGTAAAGTCGATGCTATAAGTACTGGGCCATTATGCATTGCCATGGAAAAATAATAAAAAAAAATTGAGGGATAAAGTTAATGCTTAATTGGCTAGTATTTATCCATATGTCAGTCTTATTTCAATAAACTTTGTGACAATATCTGTTATGACCAGATCATGCTTTTTTTGGCAGAATTATATCGATGGAATTGCCTTTTTCAGTCCAATCAAGAGTTATTAAATTTAGCGGTAATAAAGGTAGCAATCATTGAGAACAACTCATTGACTCAATCATTGCAATAATCAGGAAAGATTAAGTAATAAGAACTGCACTGTATGTATGAGATATTTTCAAGTAGTACCAAGTAGTACATATACTGTTAAGTACCTTGTAAATTTTTGTTTATAAAATTAATATTTTGTTGTGTATCAAACTAGACTAAATAAGCAAGCAATGAACAATTCTTGAATACTGTTGGACTGAGTATTTATTCCAGTTCTATTATTTATAGCTCTTATTATATAGATGCAAAAACTCCCAAAAATGAGTCAGGTTGAAAAAATTTGATGATTTCCTTTGAATAATTGCTTTAGTCTGTTACATAAATATAGACTTATTGGTATACTTACGGTAGGTTAGAATGCCACACACAGCGTGAAAATAAAATTTTAATTGATTTATTGTTAATATAATATGGTAAAAGATCATTGACTAAGATTTTCCCAAATAATTGTCCTGGAGTTTAAAACAAAATAGAAAAAATCAAAAAATAAAAGATGAAAACATGGTACAACCGACAACCGACGTTCACAAATCTCACATATTGGATTCTAGACCTCTTTGAGTGAGAATAGATGAAAAATGGCTTTAGAATGTTCACTCACAAAATTCAATAGTCTGATAATATGTAACGGAGTGATAAGAGAATTGGACATATACAGGGATCGATTTGTTAAATTATCGTTGTTGTTTAGGTTTATCTTGTTATTGTTGAAAAAAATCTTGGCAAGTATTCGACTGCACAATTTTAAATTTCCGATACTCGAATAGTTGGAAGCTGTTGTGTTGCTTGTACTTTTTATTCCATATTTACTCATGGCCCCTGATATTTCACCAAAGTTGTTGTTTTTTTCACTAGAAGGAACACTTTTTATCCATATTGCCTGTCAATCTCTTCAGCAAACACTGTTTTGTCAGGCATTTGTGTGTTACCTTCGTGTTTATATATTTGAGCATTGTTCTATTGTGACTCAATATTTTGTAATGATCTCTTTTTAATTATAGTTGATTGCAATACAATTGAAATATTTGAAATGAAAAATAAAAATTTGATAATTAAATATTTTGTGTCCAGAATACTTTATCCATAATATTAATTAACTATTTCAAATGTATTTCAGAAATTCTGAATAATATTATTTTGAACAGAAAATCAAAGATTTGTATCCACCTCCAAACTTCATAATGTAGGAATCATTACTTCAAAAACATAATGGAGCATAATATATTGAATTAACCGTAATATTCCTGATGTCAAAAATTAAAATTTTTCAAAAGTATCTTTATTACACTTGACTAGAGATCGTTTGAAAAGTATCTGGTTGTGTAACGTCTTCTTTTGACGAGCGGCAAAAATTGTTTTCTCAATTAGTTTCAGTAAAAAAAATATTACGCAATTCCCAATGTTATGTAACATTTAAATAAGTGAAAGGCAAATTCATTATCTTTATTTCACAAAAATCCATAAATATTGTCAATAAAAGAGATTAAGGTATAAAAATTTCATTTGATGGACTTGCGATAATTACAATGGAATGCTATATAAACAGATCGTGACGAATTAGCCGTAACAGTGTGAAAGAAATATGATTATGATGAATGCACGATAATATTCTAATTTCACTCAAACGCCAGACAAATTTCTTTTTCAAATACTTTGTTCTTATGTCGGAGGTCAAAATGTCATAAAACAATTTAAATTTTTTTTCGTGCAATACCCGAGACTATATCAAATCATAGGAGAAAATATATTATAATCTTTAAATCTGCAGTTGTGCATAAAGTATCGACAAATAATGGATTATCTTCCTTTTATCTCCTCATTATTACTCAGCAATATGATGACATATGATGTGTTATTACTTTTGAGAATAGAAAATGTAAAACAAATGGATGTGTCATTGTAGGTATCCAATATTTCAGGACGTTCATAAAAGATCTTTCATAATGTGCTTTGTGCAGCCAATGATTACCATGTAAAGGTGTATTAATAAATGAAGAAGAAAAAAACTTAGTTAAACACTAATTGAATAAAACAAACCTGGTTAATAAGACATTTAATGAGAACTGACTTCAAAACAAAATTTTGAAATTGTAATAAGACTTTGTGAACGATATAATAAGTGTATTATATTCTCAAAAGCTGTTTTTTAATATTATTTTTTCCCATTAACAGATAAAAAATAAAGTATTCATCATTCAAAATTGTGATTATTTGGAAATCGTGAAGAAAAATTTTAGTACAAAGAAGCAGGAACTACCCGTAATTTTAATGAGCATATAATGATATTTATGACAACGACTCTTTCAACTCATGACTGTGTATTCAAAGTTCCGGAATGAAACAAGTACAAAATCTTCAACTTCCAATAACACTGATAGCATGATTCCATAAAAATAAATAAACCTTTAAAGTGTTAGACTTGACTATATTGGCATAACAGGTTAAAATCTTAAATTTAAATCCCATGATAGCCAGTAGCCACCTCACTTAGGTGATTATTGGATAGGCAATGTCAAGTTGGAGAGATTTTAGTTCTTCCAAACAGGGATGGCCATTTCCGAATACTAAACTATTCCGAATACATTCTAAAATAATGTTTTCGAATCTGGAATTCCGAATACATTCTAAAATCGGAAATAACACATTTTTTTTTAAGTTTATTAAAACCCAGTAAAATAGAGAATAAACTTCAATAGTAATACCAGAATAAAGCCACAAACCAACAGTATATGTACACAAATCAATTGATAGTTTATAGCTATCAATAAAAATAATAGCATCTTGTGACACAGTCAGTTTATTAAAATTGTACACTTAGTACAAATGACCATATGGAAAGGTAGCCAAGGAGTTGTCTGACGCTTTCTATCATTGGTACCATGATATTATGATAATAGTCAAGTTTATTGACAAAAATACTATTTGTATTCAGATGATTGTGTATATTTTCTGAGAGTAATAAAATGCATTAGCAATACAGGCAACTGCAGCAAGCAACAACAATCGAATATCCATTATGCATTTACAAATTCTATCTAAGCCTAAGAGTATTCTACTACCTACCAGTATATTTGTATATTAATTTATGTGAACCATATTGTTATTATGTGTAGCATATCGTTATGTCTGAAATTAGCAATAAGTTAGGATGTAACAGCCACCGCGATTCCCCGCTCGTTCCGCCTTTTCAGCGTATAATGATCATCCTGTTACCTAAAGTATTCAAGTAAATCCAATGTAACTCGCGGTTGCTTCTTCTTACGTCAAAATAAAAACATTACTATTCGGTCGACAGCGATCTGTGGCCTAAAAGTAAGAGTTAAACTGCCTGATGTATTTAATTTTAATACGTATTTTTGCAATCTCACCAACTCGTTATCGCCGTTAGAAAAATCTCAATAACTGATATCGAATTCTGTAGAGTACAACTTCATTTCATACAATGAATATACATATAAAGTTTAGCAGGAAATTAAAATTACATATCGCGCGATTACTCCCCCTGTTAAAAAAACCGACTTTTACAACGAATACCGTATATATTTTTCTGTTGTGCAAAGTGATGAATTCGTGACCGATACGGGCATATTTAAAATGTCTTGCTTTATTAATTTAATTGTTTTCAATTTAACCTGCGGTTGCGTCGTCAAAATAAAATCCTCACCACTCTAATATATCATGACAATCCGCGGACATAAAAATAAAAATGTGTGGTAAACTGCCCGATTATATATTGTTTTGATCCGTATTTTGCGAATTCGGCAAATTTGAGATGTGTAACACTGACTCCGCTCAATCGAAATGCCGCCACTCCGATTATTTTTAAGATAAAACCGTTCGAAAAATCCATAAATCTGCCGTAAAATCTCAGACTAAAATTTATTTCAGCACAATAAAAATTGATTGAATATGCTTTAGATTAATTATATTATTGTATACATTCTCACAATCTGGTAAAAGTCGCGTTTCAAACCTTGTATAATGTTAACACCAAAATTTTCGACGGCAATTTAATTAAAGTAATGAGTAATCAGGCAAATCCCGCCCTCAATTAGTGACGATATGTTTCTAAACGCGGACCAAACATAATTTGGAAATTTTGCGATTTTCACCGCCTAGAAAAGCGTTTTTTAAACTGTCGCGGGCTTCAATAAAACAGATTTTGTTTACGGTTTTATTTCCAGTATTTTAAATTGCCGCTTTTCAATCAGAAAATTTGCGTTCTCTTTAGAAACTCGCCGCCGATGAACGTATTCACCGGATTCACAATTCCGCGCGAGTACAAAAATGGCCTGAATAATACGTCCGCTGATAAAGCAATCGCGCGCAAGTTTCTATCGAGAATGTTTTCATTCAACGGAAACGTCTTGAGCGCGGCGTCGAAAATGTGTGACGTCACACGAAAATCCGATATTCTTATAAACGCTAATTCCGATATTCGAATGACGAGATATTCGAATACATTCGAATACTTTATTCGAATTGGCCATCCCTGCTTCCAAATTTAGTTGCTACTTATCTAGCTATAGCTGCTTGGTTCATAGCCTTACTCAAGAGTGAAATGTTATGGACATGTAGTATGAAAATAAATTCAACCAAAGTTGTTGCAAATTTTTTCAACATATAAATCTTTTTTCGCAAGAAAGGAGAGATGACAGAGCAAATGAGGCTAAAGAGAGGAAAGGCAGAGAAGTGTAAAAAAATTTGAGATGAAAAGGAAAAGAAGAAAACTAACTATCATCAGTTGGAGAACTAGGTCCATCTTGTTTGACTAAACGAGGAGCAGAATCACCAGGAACAGCAAGATGACCATCTTTTTCAAAAACGCCAGAAGACGGCTCGCTTGCTAATTCGGGTGCAGCTTCCGAGCAGTGAGATACGTTACTTGTAGAACCATGAGGACTTGCACCCTGTTTACTCGAACGCCTTTGTCTCTTCAATCGTCCTGATAGAATAGGACTGGCAGCCGCTGATCCAGCGTTAGCAATTTGAGGAAGAACTACCAAGAGTGAGTAAGAGTGAGTACTCAGAGAAAAGAGTTACAGTTTTTTGAACAAACAGATAAAAAAGTTGGAAAGAATGAAAATTCTTATTCACTGCTGACCACAGATAAAATTTGGCTAGTTTTAGGATACTTGAAAGTTTTTTAGGAAAGCCATGTGGGAATTCAGAATTAAAATACACACACAAGTCACAAATAAAATAGTGCGCTGCTAACTGGCAAATAGACTAAAGATAAAACTTGAATATAAAACTGTGTGCATTTTATACAAGCAACACTAATTTATAAAAAATCAAAAGTACACCAAGAAACAATACCATTCAAGTCAATATAACAATATCTTCCAAAGCAAATATAGACGTTTCGTAACACACCTCATTGGTGCACTATTGATATCAACGTGCCATTGTTATGAAATTAAATAAAACTATAAAGCATAACGAGTTCAGTGTATACATTCAGTTACGCAGTGGTGTTGAAAGGTGTTATATACATATAATAAAAACTATAAAATTTAATTTTTCCCATAAAACATGGGCTCATTTTAAACAAATTTCACTGTCTAAAATCTAACATAAAGCTTGATTTTCTTCAAAATGTAGTCCGCAAATATTATCATCAAGATAGAAATATTTTCAAATAACATACCTACGTTAATTTAAATTTTACTCAATCAGCTTTTTATTAATAACAGCTGCAACTGAAATTGCAATGGAACCGATATGCTAGACAAATTTTCGAACCTTTGAAACAACTTTAATTGAAAGCTAGGACAGAGCATATTGCCAATATATTAGAATAGAGCAAATGCTGAAAAGTACAAATGATAAAATAGCCATTGAAGACAACTTTTAGTTAACGGCAATTATTATTAAAAACATCTTACCTGCAAAAGAGGACTCTCTACGACTATTAACCATGTCTGCAACAGATTTTATTGGATTTAGACGACCATTCTTTTTCTCTGTTTGATGCTCATGTCCGCTAAGTAACGCATCTCGTACGCGTTCCCTCAATTCATCATCGTGTGGTAATTGTCCTTGAGACACCATGACATCCAGAACTATATCTGTTTATCAATGCAAAAGATTCAGTCATTGAAGGTCTCAGTTGCCAAGCAACGAGGCAAATTGGATTCTTATTGAGATCTTATGACATGAAAAGATTAAGTTGCAATGATGAATGTTTTTATCAAGAATGTTTAAAACCATTCATCATCTTTTCCATCATATAAAAATAATTATGGCATCATTATGCATGAATTTGGCATGGCAGGGTGGTGCGACCGAATCATACAAGGTTGGTAATCAGTTTGGGCCCGCTGTATACAATCAGAGGCCCTGTTTGGGGTAAAAGCGTTGATAATAAGCGTTACAGATGCTTTTACAAACATTGAAATTTTCATATTCTAATTATTAATTACAAACACTTCCTAATAATTAATTAATTAAGATCTAACCTGCAATTTGATCAATGCACTGTGCAACCATATCTAATTGAACAACTCCGTTCATAATACATGAGCGAAGTTCGAATAAGCTGTGTAAACTAAGAGTCGCAACGTGAGGTTTACTCCATCTATCTCCCCCAGGTTCAACGCATTCTTCAAATTTAATCCATCTAAAATTCAACAAAGGTGGTTTTATAATCTTAAAATAGCACGCAAAGCTAATTTAGAAAAATTTACTGCTTATATGCAAATTTTAGAAACTTAATTAAAGTAATGCACTAGATGGGAAGATTAGTGAGTTCAGAAAAGCAAATGGAAGGATTGAAAAAGGTTATTTTAACTCTTCAGATTTATGCAGATTGTTTATCGGTACCATTAAAGTGAAACCTGAGAGCACAAAGTTTGCTTAAAATATTGGCTCACAAGATTGGATAAGGCAGTTAAGCATAATGGAATAAGAAGACTTCACTTTTAATTAAAATAATACGAAAAATTTTGGGTGAAATATTGTGTCCCATAGGAAATTCATTGATTTGATTAAAATAAAGCAACAGGCTTAGTAAGTCTTACAGAAAATGTAAAACCAATTGGTTAATCAGTTTCAGAAAAAACTTTTTTACACAACGACATGAATTTAGTGAACCAATCCACTTCATGTCCAATTAATAAAGAACATGCACAAGAATAGATTTTTAATTTTCTCTCGATTAGGAAATGAATAACAGCCATATGTAACAAATAGTCCATTAGTAACTTTGCTCAAATTAGTTAAAACATCAATTACCAAATGAAAATAGGAATTTATATCAAACTTGCAACTTAACAGGAATTGGGAATATTTAGTACATTTGAATCAAATAAAGTTTGCAAAAAGCAGAAAAAAGTATCGTCGATTTTACATTTTTGTTAAAATTTAACTTTTTTGGCAACGTCACTCACGGAGAAACTTTTTGTGTATTTTCTTTGCTTGCTAATTAAATGATTTTAATATCATGCTGACATTGCAGTAGCAAAAGCCGCAGCCACATATTTTAAGAGGTAGTGAAGTGCCAGTAACAGGTACTTGAAATAAGCAAACAAAACTAATGTAAAATGTGTTTTGAGCAAACAGAGTACTGTGTAATCGATAGAAAAACTAATATTTAATCGACCTTGCCGTTTCCTTCCAAATAGTGTCACCGTCATCATCTTGGTATAATTCTTCCATTTCTGTGAAAAGCCGAGGCATACTGCCGTTAGGAGTTTTCCAGCAATTTTCCGTATCTCCGCCATCTTCTTGCGTTTCCGAGCCGAGTAAAAATTGAACTTGTTGGTGCGGAGGAAGCACTTCTTCTTCTATTTCTTTCGGTTTTGGTGTCTTACTAGATTTGTGATGTCTCTTGTGATGTTTGCTACGTTTGCTGGGTAATTTGTCCTTGTTATACCACGTAGGTAAGTGCATTCCAACATAAACATTTTGATGTTGAGCTATTCAAACAAAGAATCATTGATGGTACCAATCTTTAGCCTTGTGTTTTTATAACATTCTTATAACGCTTCCATCTACTTAGTACTATTACTTGGAATAATAAATATTAAAACTTTAAAACTTAGAATCCACAATTAGTAGTCTATTTTAATGGATCCGATTTGTTAGCTCAAGTCCATAAGTAGAGTAGGTATATCCCTATCCTATTAATCAGGTATTCTAAAATTGCTTCTGATTCAGAAATTTAGATTTCAGCAAAATCATTTTATATAGTTGCCAAATTTCAATTTTCAAATCATAACTTCACAGCAAAAATGGCAAATTTACAAAACATTTTTTTTCAAATTTTCAAAATTTTACTTCTTAAATCAACTCCCAGTTCTATTTTTTCTAAACACTTATTCAAATTTTTTTGATGATAGATTAAAACAACATTCTAGAAAATTCTTTTAATATGGCATGACATTAATATTTCTAGGAGATTGAATTTGAAAAATTAAATAAGATGAAATCCATTGTTTTGCACGGTTTTCTATTTATATCAAGGAATGAGTGAAACCATGTATCTAGCGGCGCGTCTGTCTGATCCTAATTCCCTTGCAAAATGATGAATTTTTGATGAAAAACATTCATGAAATCAAGAATATAATTCATGAATTTAATAATTTACTATCCTAAAATATATACATGGGTATTTGCATGTTTATATGCAAACGTATCAGAATCTAAATTTAGTAAAGAACACCGCATAATTTCAATATAATACACATGGAATATTACATATTATTCCTGTTTTTTTGTATAAAACGATTTTTAATAAACAGTATTCAATTGCAATATTATGAAAGTAAATTTTAAAATTGAGAAAAATGGCTGTAAATATCAGTGACTCACATGCTGCTACATCAAGATAGGCTTGTGATGATTTTCTTTGATCTAGGATTGGCTGAGTTTCTTGGTCAATTCTCTGCAACAATAAAAAATTAATGATTAGGAAGCTTTGAAAAAGATTTGGAAAGTACATAGAATGAATCATAATGAAATGGATAAGCTGCATTGAAATTGTGAAAGAAGACTCAAGCAAATAGCATTGTGGCAAATGCACTTAGTCCCATATGTTAACCTTAATGGGAGCTACCGTAAGTATTTAATCAGTGCATCAAACATGTTCAGTTGTCATACAGAGATCCATGCTTAGCAAAATATTATGCAATGTACATTGTGGTGAATTATCTTTCATCAGAAAAGTATAAGGAAGGAAAACATGTCTATTCCCCTTGAGAATGTGTCAAAAATAGATGGAATATGAAAGTAATCCTTCTAAGGTTCTAAATGATAAGGAAAATTACCAGTTGCTTCACTTTTGTGCCCTCAAGTCAATACCATAACAGTTCATACAAAATTTGAAATATTTTCAGATTCTAAGTTTGATCATGAATAAGAAGTAGGCTATTAAATTCCAAATTTAATACATAATATTTCCACATATCTTGTATTTTGACTGATTTTGCAATACCAGGCTAATAATTCATGTGCTGCATTCAAAATGATATAAAATCTTATGATATTAAAAGCTGATATATATTTGGATGAAAGCATCAGTAAATCAAAAATACCCAACATGACAGAAATTTAAAATGTTTTGTCAGAACTGGTCACGGACTTAAAAGTTCAACACAACAGTATCATTGTTTTGTCATTATATTTACCTACCTCAGTAAAACAAAAGAGAGCATGACAAACAATTTGCATTGGTCAAAATGGACACACTTTACACAAAGAAGCATATAACATGATCAGTTTAACAAATAAAATGAACTCAGAGTTGTCATGTGAACTGAGTTGTAATGAAGCATGACTACAGATGATCAAAACAGTTTATTTACTTATATGGTAAAAACAATTTTTGGTGAAAATGCAAGGTAATGAGAAAAGCAATTTTTTTGAAATTCTACACTTTTGAAAGTTCTGCAGGCTGTCTATTACATGATTTCAGCTGACGATGAAAAAAGAAAATGCAAATATATTTAAATTTTAGTGCTAAAAAAATTTATATTTTCCACAACATGAAATAATTTTACTAAATGGTTCAAGGTATTTTACTCATTTTTATTATACAGGTAATAAGAAAAAATTTGAGTTGAAATTTGAATTTAAAGAAATTACTTGAATATTTACATCTAACAAATCACAGAGGTTAAGCAATGTGCTGACCTGGCATTAGTAATCAGGAGTTTATTTTTTCACCGTTCTGAAAATACACTTTGTGAGAACAGAATATAGATAATATCATAATAATGGTATTTCAGAGTAGAGGGAGGCGCGAAAACATGTTGAATGGTTTATCGTTGAATTTTGATATGAAGATGTGTGAAACTGTGAATTGATATATACCCACACTATATGGAAATTTCCAAGAATGCATGAAGAAATATAATCCCTCAGGCCAAAATAAAACAACAATGAAATGATTTGCAAGTAAGTTTACAATATAATGAACTCAGGCAAGGCAACTTAAGCGCCGTAAAGACGATAAAATCAGAGTTTGGGCATCAGGAGAAGTATCTATCAAGTGCACCAAAAACTAGGATGGCAATTGGCAACCAATCAAATTGCCGGTATACCAATCTTATGCTATTGTTTGGATAGCAACATACTGAATGATATCTCATTATTAACTAAGTATATTAAAATTCTGCACATTCCAAACAAATATTCTAAATCACCACTTTTTTTAATGAATTAATATTGATATTATTTGTGTAATTTGACAAAAATGTAGGTTTTAGATCATAAACATGAGTCAAGTGGTTTCCAAAAATTTGTAGTTCCAAGAAATTTAATTTTTTATTTCAGGACAATTCGGAAGATGAATTGTCCTCTTTCTAATGGAATATAATGATTTTCTGTACTTCCATAAAGAAATAATTCGAGTTTTACAAAAATATATATTTTTATTGAAAACATTCATAATTATGATTCATGCATTGGTATTGAGGAGGAACTCTGAAGATGAATTGTCCTCTTTTTAATGGATGGGAAAATCTCACTAAAGTTTAATAATAATTTTTGAGCATTACAAAAATAAATTTTCCATGAAAGCATTTATATGACACACACACACTTCTAATGACTGGAGTTGAAACTATGCATTAATCTACGCTAGCCAATAATGCATTTTGAATAGACACGATAAATCATAATGATGTATATTTAGCATGATACAGCAGTTTTACTACCTTCAAAAAAGATTCATGCTCTGCATCAATATCCTCTGAATCCATTTTTTCACTCATAATGAGAAACAGAACCTTATCTATAAGAACACTTAGAGATAAGGTTTATGCTGAAATTTTTAAATTAGGATAAAAAAACTGAGTATCAATGTAAAATCTCCCAACACAAGAGCAATCCATTGTTCATTTGGCAAGTCAACTTCGACCAGAATGAAATACAAGAAAAATTGATTCTTCCATCAGGAAACTACACTAAAATAGGAACATACTGGTACCGTCCAAATGGTTGGTGTATTTTTTTACTCAAAAAAGTTCAAGTGTACGATATTCATTCCAAATGCTAGAGACTGGTCTATGATATAAGTTACAAGTAACATCGTTGGGCTATTTCAACAAATGGTACCAATTACTACTACACAGGAATTAATATCATTTTAACCTATTTTTTCTACAAGCAGATATGAGTCGACTTAAATGTCGGCGACTTCAGATCCTACATCTTCATCGGTCCCATATTAATCAGCTGTTGCGGCGATAAATCAGTATTTGATTTTATCACGATAGCCAGATGAACCATTTATTAAAAATTGTTATGCTTGCCTTGTGGTAGCGCGATATATCCGAAATTTTCCATCGGAAATTGTGAAAATGGGACATCAGATTAGGGTATGAAATTCCAATTTCGTTAATAGAAATGATATTTTATATCCAAAAGCGCCTTTGACACTAAAAACAAAAAGGCAATACCGTATTGAGAGGTATTTTACTGTATCGGTAGCCATTTTTAATTTAAAATGACATTATAATTCGGATAGATCTGTGACGCCATGCACGGAAGTTGTCAATCCGGTTTGGGTTTCGCAATTTCGTGTTTATGCTGTCATTTAGTCTTTCTGGTGTTATTTCGTACGAAACTTAGTCAGCGTATTATCTCGACAACTTGGAATATTGCTTGAAAATAGTTATCGTTACGCAAGGTGGAGGGATAACTTTGCCACGGTCATGATACATGGATGTACAACACAATTATTGAGCAAAAAAGTTTCATTATATGAGTGTAGTAAACGTGTATCTGACTTTGGCCTTGATTCAAGAAGTACACGGGAACAATTTTGCGTGCGTCACGCATCGGACGTAACGTGACTAAATTTAACCATGCGCGATTAAAAGTCTAAGGTTCGAGTTTCAAAGCACGTCACAATATTCTAAATTTGGAAGAACACGCCGGAAAATGCAAATAATATTAGGTGTTTCCGAGAACTTTATGGACACTAGATAGAAAGTAGTCAAAGGACCGAGGTAACAGAACTCCTTTCACTAATAGCTTTTCGAATTTAAAATGCCTGGGTTTTACTTTCAATCGACAACGAGATAATAATGTTATTATAGTAACATGGTATTAAAGACCAATAAAGTACCGAAATATATTCCTATATTTATTTTGCAATTAAGAAAATTACATACACAACCTCCGTAAAAACATGATGCTGGGGAAATCCATAAATATTTTTAGTGTTCAATAAATATAATTTGATGAAAGTTTTTCAAGTATCGTCTACTGTGGAGCTCGCTGCCAATCGATAACCCACGATTACATCGGGGGTCGGTATTTAACAAAAATGTATGCATAATTGAATATCTATTAAATGGCCAGTAGCGAAATGAAAGCTATATTCATAATTACATTTTCAGCAAACGATACATTACATTTGGATTCGTGAGTGAACTGAGTTACGTATAAGTTATAACACGGCATTATGAATTTCACGGAAAATGGATACGACGTCACAATATATTTTTGCGCGTGAAATACAAAACATGACAACACGTTATGTCGTTTTAACAAAGTTACCCCACGATATCTTACATCCTCGTACGCCGCCGTCTTTGCACATTACACATATATGTTGAACACAACAAAAATATTTTGAAGTTATTTATACCCTCAATGTGAGCTTCCATAGTTCTATAACGCTGATAATAAAGAAGCAGTTATTCTCGTCCAATTTCCCTGCTAATTTGAATAAAATGTTTCGATGGAAATAAGTGAGTTCCGTTTACGTCCTGTTTCTTATACCTTCGCGACAATAAGTCAGTAAGTTGCTAGAAATGTACAAAATGTCGACGATCTGATCGACTATTCGTGGGATAAATCCAATAACGAACAATCCTTGACCTGCTATACAATAACGGCATTTACATGCTACTTTCTGTACGATGACAGATCGTCGATACAAATTGCTTCATTCGTAAGCCAGGACTAACCGTACCAATGTCAGCGAGATACTCGAAAGCGCGAATAGCTAGAGTTGAGATAAGTGATAGACAATGTCAGCACTTGACGTCAATCCTGCAAAAACTCGCCCCCTTCACCATTGAAATCCACTTCAACGGGAGCAAATGCGGAATAAAAACGGTAAAATGTTGACCAGCGAGGTTAAAGTTCAATTGGCTAACTGATGTCAGATGTGTACGTATTTTCATTTAACTCTTGAATCTCAATCTTCGAGAAACTACAGAAAATGTAGAACAGGGGTCGGCAACTACGGCCCGCGAAACAATATAATCCGGCCCGCGACGCTTCACTGAATTATAATTAACAAAACAACTGTATTGACGATTATATTCTTTACGTACAGAATTTATTTTGAGACACTAAATTATATTATAATCTAACAAGTATATAATTCACAATCACTCGTTTAATGAGCCTATAAATTGATTATAATTA